ATTATCTATTTTTGTTAAAATTCCAGTTGACTGAAGATTGGGGGGAGACATTGTTTTCTGCCTTGAGCAAGGCAGGAGGGAAAGCTTTCAGCAATATGGCTGTTGGGTACAATAATGTTGATGTGAATGCTGCTAATAAGTTTGGTGTTGCTGTTGGGAATACACCTGTGAGTTTCTTGAACTGTTCATTTATTTTTTCTTTGTTTTTTATTCTTAGTAATGTATGGTGTAGAAAGTGCAAATTCATCTCAGATTAGCTTCGTAACATGAAAATCGACAATTGTTCGAAAAAAGACCGATACTATGTAATATGTATATGTTCAATTCTCCTCTGTTGGGAAGAGGAGCACTTTAGAATTTCGATTCGGATACTTGTTTGGTTCATTTGACTGAATATATTTGATTTTATAAGGGAGTACTCACAGAGACTACAGCTGAGCTGGCAGCTTCACTTTCTTTAGCGGCAGCAAGAAGAATTGTTGAAGCCGATGTGTTTATGAGGGCTGGCTTATATGATGGATGGCTTCCTCATCTGTATGACTTTCCACTATTATTCATAATAAAGAGAACATATGTTTTTCACTTATATTTAGATGTGCATTTGCATCATTCGGCTTATTAGTTTTTTTTTTTTTTTTTTTTCCTTTTTTCTTGTTTATATAGGTTTGTTGGGAACTTACTCAAAGGACAAACAGTCGGTGTGATTGGAGCAGGTCGAATCGGATCTGCTTATGCTAGAATGATGGTAATAAAACTTCACACTCTGAGTTTAAGTTAGTAAATATTCTGAAAAACAATGTCTTGAATTTATACATTTTTCTCTGTTTATTTTTCTCACATCCGATGAATGAGTTAGATTTCCTATTTTTATTACAAAATTTGCTGCTGCTCATGTGTGAACATGCGTGTTTTTGGGAGAGATAGGTTGAAGGGTTCAAAATGAACTTAATCTATTACGATCTCTACCAAGCCACTCGTCTCGAGAAGTTTGTCACAGGCACGTCTCGAGTACTTTCATCTAAAATGACTTGATCACTGATATACAAAAATACTCGACAACTTTTTCGGTTTTTTGAATATTTGCAGCTTATGGACAATTCTTGAAAGCCAATGGCGAACAACACGTCACATGGAAAAGGGCCTCGACAATGGAGGAGGTACTTCGAGAAGCTGATGTGGTACGTATGACTTATGAGTAAATTGCAGCTTATATGAAATTTTTTGAAGTGTGATGATAAATTATATTATATCTTGATGGTTTTTTGCAGATTAGTCTTCACCCTGTGCTGGACAAAACGACTTACCATCTCGTCAATAAAAAAAGCCTTGCAATTATGAAGAAGGCAACAAATTTATAAATTTCAATTATAATATAATATTATTATATCTACTCGTTAGTTGAACTTTTTTATTAGACTTCTTGATTTTGTGTTAAATAATTCTTTTTTTTTTTTTTTTTTTATAGGAAGCCATCCTTGTGAACTGCAGTAGGGGACCTGTAATCGACGAGGTTGCTCTAGTCGAGCATTTGAAAGCGAATCCTATGTTTCGAGTTGGTCTTGATGTTTTTGAGGTAATGACAAATTACGAATGACAATAATCTTTAATAACATCACAAATTAGTACGTATAATAATGTGTTTGGTTAAATAATTACATTCCGATTAGGATGAGCCGTACATGAAACCCGGGCTTGCAGATATGAAGAATGCTGTTGTTGTGCCTCACATAGCATCTGCTTCGAAGGTTATTGTTAACTTCCTTCGAAACATTTTATTAGAGTCGAGTTTTTTGTTCAAGTTACTAAGGCTATGTTTGGTAAAACTAGCTGATAAGCTGCTGATAACTGATAAGCTAGCTTATAGCTTATCAATAATTTTTTAGCTTATTGCTTATAGCTTATGACTTATAGCTGAAAAGCCAGCTTATATGATAAAAGTGTTTGGTAAAATTAGCTAGCTGAAATAAAAAAATTCAACTAACTTATTTGAAAAGCTACCTAAAGAAGCTTATCAAATAAGCTCGAGCTTTTTAAAAAAGCTCGTCCTACCAAACGAGGCTTATTTGAATACAGGGAACTTATAAGCTAACCAAATAAGCTATAAGCTAGCTTATTTGTCTACCAAACATAGCCTAAACTTCCATGAATACTTTAAGTTTCGATTTTATTTAAGTATTTATTTATTTATGTGCAGTGGACACGTGAAGGAATGGCAACATTGGCTGCACTGAATGTCCTGGTAATGAGATCTTCAAATTTCAAAACCCGCGTAATAATTACAATATTTTACCCTGAAGTTTAGCCTAATTACAATCACTCCCCAGGAGCACAAATTAGCTTGGATAGAAGTAGATTAAGCCTTCTTGATAGTGCAATTTGTGAAAGAAAAAGGGAAATGTTTGAGTTATGTGAATAGGGTATTATTATTTATAACTTGGGAAGATAATTGAATTTGAGTTTATCTTTTGTGATTAGGTTTAACCTAAACATGAAATGTAGCATGTTGTAATTAACCCAAAAAAGGCATGTTGAAAGTTGATCGATTTCCCAAGGTCATAAAGAATACATCACATAATCTCTGGTTCAAACCTGACAACTAAGCCTATGTTTGGTAAACCTAGCTGATAAGCTAGCTTTTATAACTTTTAAGTGAATTTCGAGCTTACAACTGATAGCTTATAACTTATGGCTGAAAAATAGCTTATATGATAAAAGTGTTTGGTAAAATTAGCTGAAATAAAACTTTCAATGGGCTTATTTGAAAAGCTACTCAAAGAAGATTATGAGATAAGCTCGAGCTTTTTAGAAATTAGTTAGGCCCTAATCAGGCAATCTTCTTTCAACTGTATCTAATTATTTTTTTGGTTTTTACAGGGAAAAATAAAAGGATATCCGATTTGGGCCGACCCTAACCGAGTAGACCCATTCTTGGATGAAAAGACTCCTCCACCGGCCGCTTGCCCGAGCATTGTTAACTTGAAAGCTTTAGGTACTCTCATTAATCATTATTAGTTCTTGATCACAAGAAGTTACGAAGAAAAAAAAATGAATATCATTATTAGTTCTTGTTAACAGTCGAATAGTTTTGGACTAACACAGCTTTTTTAATCGTAAATTTTTTGCAGGCTTGCCTGTTTCGAAGCTGTAACTGTACATATACTTGTTGTGAACTTCTCATTCTTCTCTCGAGGAAGTTTGAGGATACACTGAGTCAGCTTATTGTAATTTTCCATTGATGAGAGACGGTGAAAACTGAATATAGTTTGTATTTACATCTATACTTTCTTATGCTATTGCATGAATGAGAGTCGGTAAATTCAAGTTATTACTCTAAAAAGTGACTTTGAAAAACTTGAAGTATAAAAGTATGATATTTCAAGATACAAAGGTGAATTTTTGTTAAAAAAAGTATCACGGATCGAATCTAAACGATTATTCTCCACTTCAAATAAGAATTTGTGTTTATCTTGTACAGATTAAACTCAAATTCTCTTTTTGTATGCCTTTCTGCAATTCAATTGCAGACAAAATCTGTAATTCTTTGTNCTAAAAGGTATAAAAGTCAGATTTGAAACTAGTGATCTCGTGTATTGTAATGTAAAAACAAGTGAAATGAAGTATTTACTAGTAGCTGTACATAATTATAAAGTTAAAAAGTATTTTAACTTCAAATAATTATGAAAAAAATTATATTATTATTTTTATTTAAAATGAGATGCAATCACCCATAAAATTGGCTCATAAAGGTATATAGAATTATTTTTATATTATATATGCCATATGAATATTAGATCAATGATCATTAAGAGATGAGTGAATAAAAATTGATAACAAATAAAAAATTATTAATTTTTAAAATATATTTGTAATTAAGTTAGTCAAGTATTTTATAATTCTAAAAATAAAAGGTCCATACTTATATTGACTATTTCAAATCATATTAAGATATAAGATTAAAGAACATCATAAATTTACATATAAAATTATGAAAGCACCGGAATTTGACACTTCTATATTTATATAAAAGAAGGAATTATTATATATATACACACACATTATTCTCACTCAAGTTTAATTTTCCAATGTAAAATAAAATGTCGCAAGAATGTTGGCATTAGTGGCAAGTGTAGGTTTGGGCATGTATTCAGTTATATTAATATTGTTTATAGGACCATTGGTTTAGATATTAAGTGCAATAAATAAATATAATAACAACATTAATTAAGTTTTCTTTTGAGTTCGTTTTGTTTCTTTTAATTAACTTTCATAATATTTGATGACTTATATTATAAATTAACAAGTATTCCTTTAATCATATCTAAATTTATAAAATATAGTATTTGAAATACGTAATTTCATGTATTTTTAATATGTAAAAATTTATAAATACATTGAAAATATATCGATAATAAATATATTAATGTAGATGATATTAAATATTTTTAGTATGTAATAAATATGGCCAAATACATATAAATATTTATCAACTACTANTTTTTTTGTTTTTTATCAATAAAGGAATTTTTGAATTTAAAATAATAAGATTATTCTTACGGGTATATTTACCAGAATATTAAACACTTTAAAAATTTTTTGAAAATAAATTTGAATTATTCCTTCTTTTACTCTATTTGAAATTCAAAATTAAATTTTTAAATATATTCATAAACATTATTATTTATTTTTTCTTATGTGATATAATCTAAATTTGGTTGTAGATTTTTAAATTCAAACATTTAAAGAAAATAACCACGAAGAGATTTTCTGTTATATTTCGTTGTGTCTTAACTTTTGTATAATCGCATTCCTAACAAACTCATTAGTATAATTTTTTTTATCCACATTTATATAATGGAATTTCTTAAAATATAATTAATATAATAATTTAAATAATTAATCATTTGTATAACTTGATTTATCTCATTAATAAACTTGCCAAATTTTTTTAAAATTAAAAAAATTTGAATGATTTTGATTTGTAAAAAATAGCTTTACTTTAAATTCTGGATTCTTTCCATTATTTTTTGCACATTAACAATTATATATGGGATAATTAATTTTTTTTTAAAAAAAAATCAAAACCGTAAGATTTAATAATATTCCTGAAATAAAAAATATTATATAAAGAGAAGTATTTAATAATATATATTTTTCATTATTTGTATTTATTTTATTTTCTTAATAGATGAGATGTGAAAAATGTAAAGAATTATATTTAAAATAAAGTCTAAAAAAAAGTTTAAAATATGAGTTCCTCCGTGCATTTCACACGGGATATACACTAGTTTCCATATAGAAATACCTAATTATTGTTATTATTATTATTATTTTAATCAAACCTATTCCCACTTTGCTTGCAATACAAACGAAAATCTAGAGTTTGACAGCAAAGCAAACCGATCTAAAACAGTAAAACTCGTTTGCCTAGTTAAACTCGGATTAGGAAAAAAATAGAGATTAGTGACTCTATAAATACTAAACCCTAATAACACCCTAAACCCCACCATACCAACAAGGCCACACTCCCAAAATCCCCCCAAATTCCAAATTCTAGGGTTTCCAATTCTCTCTGTTTTTCGCCCAAAACGATGTCTTCGTCATCTTCGTCCTCCAACAAGAAGGTCGTCGTCCTGAAAAGCTCCGACGGCGAGATTTACGAGGTGGATGAGGCGGTGGCGCTCCAGTCGGAGACCATCAAGCACTTGATCGAAGACGGCTGCGCCGGCAGCTGCGTCCCTTTACACAACGTTGAGTCGAAGGTACTCGCCAAGGTCATCGAGTACTGCAAAAGCCACGTGAACGACGCCGCCAAGTCAGCGGAGGATACCTGGCTCGACCGATCGGGGGACACGAGCCGCTCGGAATTCGACAAGACCTTCATCGACGTGGAGGATCAAAAGATGCTTTTCGACCTCATCCTGGTAATTTTGGGCATCTGATAATTTTCAATAATAAATAATGCTTGCCTCTAGGGATTATAG